GTTAATACATTTGGCTGGGAAGAGGACAAGAGCTCACGTTCATTGAACACTTACTAAAAGCCAGGTACAGGTCTAAGCATGTCACACACATTTTCTCGTGTAATCTAACCACCCCTCTCTAAGGTATTAATAGTATTATCATTCCCCTTTTACATTCAGGTGAGTAATCTGAGACCCACTAGCCCCAAGTTCCACAGTAAGAATGAAACAAAGATCAGAAACTAATTTCAGCTAATATACAATGAATACAACTGTTACCATTTAATACCGGAGGGGAATATTTGTGCTTCAATGGGAAATGCTGCATTGCATAGATAAGCACCCCCTCTCAAATTCTCGCTTTTTAAAACATTTGCACGTTGATGTTTCTGTATAAAACACTTTCTCTTATACAATTTACAATTTTAATTATAAATTTACAGATTTCAATTATACAATTTTTTAACAAAAAAGACATCTCTCACGATGTTCTGCAACTGGCTTATTTTTAGATTTAATATGGGGCTGTCCGCATTGATCAGCTTCCTCAATAGCTTCATGGTAGCCCATTATCTGAATGGTTCATATTTTTTTCAATTAACTCCTTACTAATGGGATTTATTAATTTGTTTATTTATTAGAGATGGGGTCTCATTATGTTGTCCAGGCTGGGCTCAAGCAATCTTCCTGCCTCAGCCGTTCCAGGAGCTGGGACTACAGGCATATACCATCATGCCTGGCTCACTAATGAAATTTTAATTGTTTTGCTTTTCTGCCTTTCTCTGTTACAAGCAGTGTTCCAGTGAACATCCTGGTACATCTATCTTTATACTATACTTACCTTTTTCATAAACGAAGTACCTCCATGAGCTTTCTTCCTTCCTCTTTTATTGAGACAGAGTCTCACTATGTCGCTCTGGGTAGAGTGCTGTGGCATCATAGCTCACAGCAACCTCAGACTCTTGGGCTCAAATGAACCTCTTGCTTTAGTCCTCTGAGTAGCTGGGACTTACAGGTGCTGGCCACAATGCCTGGCTATTTTTTTCGAGATGAAGTCTCACTCTTGCTCAGGCTGATCTTGACTTCCTGAACTCAGGCAATACACCTTCGTACCTCGGCTTCCCAGAATGCTAGGATTAAAGGCGTGAGCCACCGTGGCCTGCCTTCTCCATAAGCTTTATTCGTGTTGTCAAGCATGTAATTTTTAATGTAGTTACTGCTTCAGAGTCCAGTTCCTGTTCTTGCCTCTTTTGCATACACAGTTTTCTGGTACTTAAGACTCATTGAGTGATGCTGAGGCTAAGTAGTTCTCTAAGTTGGAAAATGAGTGAAAGCATCATACATTGGGCTTAAATGATAAACCTGATTACAGGGGGTGAGCTAGTTCCATATGAAAAAGAACTTTTTAAAACCTAGACTAAACCAGAAATTCTGAATAATCACCTTAAAATAGATACCATTAATCAGAGCATCCTAATAAGAGAGTAGGAGACAAATGATTTGAGTTCATGATCCTTACTCTAAGATTTCAATTATTTGTGCCTTTAATGGTAGAAAATAATCCTTTCCTGTGTTAAGGCAGCACCAAGAACGGTTTCTGACACATGTGAACTCACCACCTGCATTGGGGATATTTTGGAATGGTCTATTTCTTGGAAATGGAGTATATAGTATTAAAATAGTTAAAGGTATGACTCGAGCTACACTGGAGTTCACTTTCTGTGTTCATCACTTACTGACTTTGTGTCCTGGGACAAAAGTCTCTTAACTTTCTGTTGTTCAGTCTCTACTCAGTAAAAACTAGTAATAGCATTATCTATCTACTTGAATCCTGTTATAAGGATTTAGTGAGTAAATCCACGTAAAGCTCTTCAAATTGTATAATTACTATTGAGCCTTAACTGTGTTAACCCCTGAGGAAATAAAGTTAGCAGGACAAAGATCCTGGCTCTCAAGTGGGCGACTGCAGTCTGGTTCTAAACACAGATGAAAATAAAGATTTACAATTCAGTGTAACTGAGTACAGTCATGTAATCGCAGGGTACAATGACAACATTTGGGATGGGCTCGGTTTTGAAGAACATGAGAAAGCTTCCCAGAGAAGATGGTATAGGATCCCTCGGTTCCCCTGCCTTTCTTTCCCTGACCTGACTAAGAAACAGAGTTCCTCCACCACTCTGTGATCTGGCCAGCTGCATGGGTTCTTTCCCCCTGCAGGTTTGAACTCAAGCTGGGGCCTTGAACATTCCCAGGCACTGATAAAGTTGTATAGGTTATTGCTTAAAACACTGAATGATGAAAATATGTTGGTTAACACAGAGAGACTAGCCCCGGCCCTAAGTCAAATTCCCTAAACCCTCACATAAACTCTCAAACCAGAAACTCTCATTGCAGACATCCTTAGGTACAAACATGTCTTTTCTCCCTGTACACTGAAGCACTCTGTATGTTCCCCAGTAAACACTTTGGACTGACCTCCTTGGCATTCGGTGCTTCTTTCTTCCATATCCAAACTGGCTCCTTCTTGGGATGGTTTAGAGTAGTCCCTTGCAAAAATTCCCCTGCCACTCCTTTTGGGCCAACCCAGCCTTGGATTCAGCTAGAAGGGATAGAGCTGCTAAACTAAGACTTGAAAACCAGAGAGGAAGAGGCTTTTAGGTGGCCAGGAGAGAGCCAATGTCTTTCAGGTACATGCAGGAACTAGAGGCAGTTTCACAGGGTTGAGCTGTGCTATGTGAGAGAATAGGGGACATGTTATATTGTGGGCTGGAGACCAGATGACATACAGTCTCAGCTGCCATGCAAGAGTTTGGAATTTATCCTGAAGCCAGAGGGTGGACATCAAAGGATTTTATGCAGAGAAATGACTTGAGTAGAGTGTTTAAAATTATAAATTTGATAAAATGGAGTGAAGTGATACTGATACCTTTGGGTATTCAAAAGGTAGAAACAGCAGAATTTGCAGGCTGATGTCCCTAAGAAGACAGTATAGCATATGGATAAGAGCCATACCTAAATAGTGAACTTGAAGGACCTTTTTTCCTATCTTTCTTCTATGTGGATGTCTTCATTGAACTCTTTAAGACTTTAACTAGGCAGTTTTGCTAGGGATTTTCTCACAAAAGCTAGGTTTAGGAAGCCTGACGGGCTATACTTCTAGGCTTCTCCACTTGTGATGTCAGGAAAACAATTTCAATTCCCCACATCTGTGAATTGGCTTAGTGTTCTCTAATTGTACTTCACAGGCTAGTTGAAGGAATTAAGTGACGCGATGAATACAAAGTGCTTAGCTCCATGTGTTTACACAGATAAATATATAAAGCAAGGAGAATATTGCTCAAAAGAAAAAAAAGGCAATGTATTTAGGTGGCCAGGCTGTAGTGAGACTCTTCAGGCTTAAATCCCTACTCTGCCAGTTACTAGCTAGTTGTGTGACTTTAAGAAAGTTACTTAATTGTAACGTAGCAAGAGAAAATCATCTTGTACAAGAGATTCCAAATAAAACTAAGATTGGTTTCTCTTCAGAAACGATGGTGACCACAGGCAGTGGATGACATATTTAAAGTACTAAAAGAGAAAAGCTGTCAACCCAAACTGTTTAGCTGGCAAAGCCATCTCTCAGAAATGAAGCACAAATTAAGACACTCCCAGATAAACAAAAACTGTGGAAATCTGTCACTAGTAGACTTGCCCACAGGAAATGCTAAAAGGAGTCCCTCAGGCTGAAATAAAAGGACATATTCAATAATTTGAAGCCACATGCATGAAGAAATAAATGTAACTATATTAGTAAATACAAAAACAAAAAAGTTACTTAACTTTCTTAGGCCTCATTTTTGAGGCATTGATAAGATGAAGATAATAATATCTCTTTCATAGTGTTGTGGAAGTAAGAAATACAGATAATTCATATAAAGTGCCAGAACATTAATTCATTTAAACAAATATTTATTGTGTGTATGTGCCAAGCACTCTTCTAGTCCCTGAGGATAAAGTAGTTAAGTAGATTGAAATGGAACCCAACCTGCCCTCAGGGATCTTAATTTTATATAACAAACAGTAACAATGAATGTCCAACGCATATGAGTGTTCTGTATTATTTGTTACCAGCAACATTCCAAGACAAGTTTTGTGGTCTTAACCTCAAACTTTTTCTATAATTCTTTTTTTGTAATAAAAGAATAATGTTCTACAAACACAGTGGTAATATACAGGATGTAGAGACGTAATCCAAGATAACTCAGACATTGCACCAAAGGAAAACAAATTTGAGAGAAAAAAAATCTGCTGACAAAACTTTGAATATTTACCACTCCTTTGTATTTCCTCCCCACCCCCCAAAAAGCTATGTAAGGGCTCCAGCACCTGCCTGAAATCTTCCTAAAAATGTATGCTTAATATTTGCTTAAACCACGTTCCAACAATTGAGCAACCAATTGAGGAACGACCTGAAGCAGAATTAACATTTGTTCCCACCTTCTAAGATAACGTATGCAAACACCAGAGATTCTAAAGATACAAGTTCAAATGCCTCTACAGCCAATAGAGTCTCGGGGGGAGAGGGTGTTAACAGGACAGATGAAAGCAATGCATTAAACCATGGAGAATTAAAGACCTGATTAAGTGTGGCACAGGCCACAACAGCAAGGCCCTGGTCCCCTCGTTGCTAAGGCAACCGACCCGCCCAGAAGAGGAAACCTGAAACCTTGATAACCCTGGAGGGAGGCCGCCTTCCTGCTGTGACACGTTTTTTTTGTTACTGTGGGGAACAGGAAAAGGACACAAATCAGTGGGGACGAACGTAGTGTCTCTGGTCTCAGTAGAGGGTGCTATAAAGAGGAGGGCATTTGTCCACATGCAGCAACCCCCATTTCTCTTCTCAACGCAAAGATACCCCGAGGTTCCCTCCCCCAGTGGGAGAACTCTGGCCGGAAAAGCACCGCCCACCCGGGGGTGGGAACCGATCTAGCTCCGCCTCCCAATAGCTTCTCGCGATCGTTGAGAAGAAGCAACCCACACGAAACTTCCGGCAGCGACCCATTAGCTCGTCGGCGATTGGTCCGTTTCCCCGGCGTGTTGCGTGACGTCACCTCCCGGCTCCTGGGGTCGCACGTGTGGGGAAGCCTGAAGACGCGGCTGAGCGGGGTCTTGGGCTCCCTCCGGACTTTTAGCTTGTAGTAGCTGCTCCTTTGGGGGCTGAGTGCCGCGCTGCTGCAGCATGGTGAGCAGGCTTGGCGGCGGGGCGCTGTGCTTTTGCGGAAGTCAGGCAGGTTCCGGTAATGCCTGTGGTTACTGCAGCCTGGGTTAGGGTGATGCCGGAGCCTGTTTGCGGCACAGTACCCCAGAATGGATCACCCTCCCCATCCCAGGCACGCTTTACAAGTTGTACTTCCCACGGCCGAACCTCCCTGGGAAATGGCCCGAAGGGGATAGCCTCCCTTTTGCCCCTGGAGCCCTGCAGCTCTGCGCGCCTGCTGTTAATTAAAAACCTGTGACACCGGACACAAATGCCCTGCCCTGTGCCTTATGGGGTCGGGCAAAGGGGGAGTTACTTGCCTCTCTAAGCGTTGGAGTGGCAGCTGTCCACTTGTCTTATCTGCTTGGGGAAAAGGAACTTATGGTAGAGTCTGAAGTTGGGCCCAAAGTAAGGCCACTTAGTTGGGTTTTCTTTGGAAAACAAAGATTGCATAGCGAAATAAGAGTGTAGAAAAGGATGACGAATCTTATTAAACTTTAGCTGTTTGGGTCTTTTGATTTACTCGTTAGTAGATGAAGTGTTTGCCCTGTTCAAAACTGTCTACCCATATTTTCTTGTGTCAGGCGTCTTGTCATTCTGGTTCAACCCGCCTCGACCTTGCCTGAGCACCCAATTTAAGTAGTACTTAAGTCATTCACACATCACCTTGCAAATATATTTTCATCATTTGGAATAATTATTTTGTTGATTTCTTGCTAAGAAGAGGGACTTTACCTGATTTTCCCACAGTTGTATTCCCAGCTCTCATAACAAGATCAGTCTGTTTACTGAAGGAAGATTAAGTATGGATTCTACAGAACACAGCTGATGTTAACCTGCCCCAGAAGTGGAGATTTTAAAATCTGTTGATCCTTCACCTAACTTAAGATGCATGTGTGGACTATGATATTATTCACTAGAGTTTTGTTGTTGTTGTTCTGTCTTAATGAATTGGTATGATTCTGTTCCTTCCAAGCCTCACAGGAAGAAAAAGCCTTTTATAGAGAAGAAGAAAGCTGTGTCTTTTCACTTGGTCCACCGGAGCCAACGAGATCCTTTAGCAGCAGATGAGACTGCACCCCAGAGGGTTCTTTTGCCCACACAGAAAGTAGGTCCTATTCTGTAGCCAGTAGAATTATAGGTGCACTGTTAGTGGTTTTAAATAAATTGATGGCCAACTGAGAAGAAATAAATAACTAGCCTTCTGAGGAATAATTTATGGCCAGGCGAGGTGGCTTATGCCTGTAATCCTAGCAATCTGGGAGGCCCAGGTGCATGGATTGCTTGAGCTTGGGAGTTTGAGACCTGCCTGACCAAGAGCAAGACCCCATCCCTGCAAAAAATAGAAAAATTAGCCAGGTATGGTGGTACATGCCTGTAGTCCCAGCTACTCAGGAGGCTGAGGCAAGAGGATCACTTGAGCCCAGGAGTTTGAGATTGCTGTGAGCTGTGATGCCATGGCACTCTACCAGAGCCACAGAATGAGACTCTGTCTGGAAAAAGAAAGAAAGAATTTATGACTTAATTTCCAGGATATATGCTGATTTTTAAATCTTGTATATTCATTTTGATTGGGAGGATAAAGCATCTTTGAGACATTGAAGTGAATAAATCTTGTAGAATAATGGTAAATATTTACTAAACTGGCAGCTACAGTGCTGCGTGGTATTTAGAGCACAAACATACGCTTGGTGTCTTCTTTCTTTGAGGCACTGCCATGTTGTAACCGCAGACTGTATTTTGTGTACATCTCCTGAGGTGTAAAACACACGAGCTCATGGGTTAGCATTAGAAAATGCCAGGGAGTCTTGAAAGGGTTGATTTGATTATCATTAAATAATTGTTAATTGTGGCTAATATGAAAGAAAGTGTTGGCAGGGGACACTGGTCATGCTAAGCTTTTCAGTAAAGCCAATTTTGTTTCGTGTTGAGAAGTGTCTTTGCATTCAAATATAAGAAATTGTACTTACCTTTGAAGGCCCCCAGTCTTGTCTTCTAACCTTTGAAATACATGATAAAACAAAATGTGTGTTTCTTAACTCCAGTTGTTGCACAGAAATGTCTAGTGGACAGAAGAATTGTTTTTATTCCATTTTAATTTAATATTAGCATTCTAGTTTAGAAGCTCTGGATTCCTGAGTTTGTCAAGAATCCTTTATCTTATTCCTATTGGCCCAAATGTTTGTGTGCCACATATTTCCTGTTTGGAAAGCTGTGCTCATTGGAAGGTTCCTATGCCTTATCCTTGGAAGAAGTACTAATTCCATTTTTTTTTGTTATCCAAGATAAACGATGAAGAAAGGCGAGCAGAGCAGAGGAAGTATGGTGTGTTCTTTGATGATGACTATGACTACCTGCAGCATCTGAAGGAGCCATCCGGGCCTTCAGAGCTTATTCCTTCAAGCCCCTTCAGTGCACACAGCAGGAGAGATGAGAAAGAAGAAACTTTAGTAATTCCAGTAAGGCTTTTCAGAAATTTAAGTATGAGAGTGAGTGTGGGTGTGAGTGAAGAAACTATCATTTTTAAATCAAGATAACTGTTTGGGTCAAGAAATGATATCCTATAAAGAGCTCAGAGGCAGGCCATGTCTCCACTTACAATGTATATGTACATACATATATATCATCAGGAAAGAGTAACCCATCTCTTGTGGCAAGTGTCAAAAGTAACAGCCTCTGATAGGTCTAGAATTCTGTTAGACGTGGCCTTGTTAGGCGGCACTTTTCAGTAGAAGAAATGGAGCTGACATTCTCCAACAACTTGACTGTTTGAGGATCATAAACTGGAAGCCAGTACTTTTGTGGAATGTTCAGATCTTTCATAAAAGCTTCAGGCTTATATAATAAGAGAGAACAGAATAACTAGGTAGTAACAAAATTCCTGTTATTCTTACAAACAAACATGTGATCCACTGTGATGCTTTCTCTTTCAAGTCTGAATGAGAGCACATACTTATGTAGAATTAGTGCTGCTCATTTGTTTTCCCCCTGTGAATGTTCAAGATACCCATGTTGTGTTCCTCTGTTATCTCACCCAGCACTTAAGAAAAGGAGACATTCATTAGGTTTATGGACAAAAGGGGAGATAAAAAAGGCACCGGTTTCCCCTGCTTTTGTCCAATTATGTCATGGTGCAGGCATTCCTTTCCTTGGGGAAGATGCAATTGCAGCCCTTAGAGTTCATAGGTTGTTGCTGAAGGAGAGTAGAAGGGTTACATTTCAGGGTGTCATCTCTAAGAAGGAGGTGGTAACTGCAGCTGTTCAGTTACTAAGTCGGTTTTGTAAATCCCACCACCACACCTGTATCACAATAGAACCAATTCTCTGTTTCTCTTCCCCAAGGCTATTATATCAGTAGTAGGTTACTTACTTTATTGGCTCACAATCTTCAGGAGCCCACTGAGGGAGAGGAGCAGGGTCCAGTAGTAGCTCAACTTCTTTATCTTAGGGAGAAAAGTTTAATAAAGTCTTACCTGGCTGAATTGTACTCACCAGGAAAAAAGACCAGCTTTTAATTCTTATTTCACTTTGAGTGAAAGTAATCAGTAATTGGCTTTTTAGCAGAATAAGGTTCTTCAGTGGACACTTCAGTGACATTTACAAGGACGGGTGAATTATATTTAAAGACAAAAGTGCCATGGCACTTTTGCAAAACAGTGCTATGGAAAAGTACAGATCAGTCCTGTATATTTTTTTTTACTTTGTAACAAACCACCAAACTTGAATAGAAGTATTACATAACCCTTAGAAACAAGAGTGTAAGGCAGTGTAGAAAGGCTGTATAGAAATGGTTAATGCTTGAGCAGGCCCTGCCTTTCACATGAAGGGAACAGGGAGCTGCCATAGTAGAAATCAGCTTGGTAAATAAGCAACACTCTTCTCAAGAGAAAAGTCATCCTTATATAAACTGTGTTCATGAATGTGATTCTTTGCTATTTAAGATTTGAGAAATACTCAGATTATCTCTCAAAGGTAAGTTCATTAAACAAAAGCTGACCTTTTCCCCCTTTTTAAACCTTAAATGTCTGAGGATAATCACAGAGTACCCTTAAAACAAAAGACTACATAGATGATAGCACAATTTTAAAGAATAACGGAATATATAAAACCCATTAGATTGTACACTTTTGTTGACTTTCCTTTCTAAAAAATACATACATTAGGTGAATTGTGAAGTATGTTAATTATATAATCTCAGTAAAGCTGTTTTCTTAAAAACAGAGAAAAAATTTTTTTTGCTCATGTTTATGCTACTGAGAAACTTGTTTTGGAAACCATAACATCTTGCCATCTGCTCACTCACACTCTTACACTCGTCAGAGCCTTTCACTTCAGGGTGCTCGTGCTCAGTGAACTGGAGAGGATGTACGCCCCAGCTTCATGCCTACTGCTGGACTGAGGCAGGGTGGGTGCAGAGATAGAGACAGGTGATGCCTGGTGGTTACCCTACATTATTAACTGCTCAAGGAAAGAACACTAAAGCAAAAGGACCAGTCAGAGAACAAAGGCCAGCACTTGTTTCAGAATGTGGAGATTTCAGACAAAGGAAAGTTCTTGGACGGTAACCAGGAAAGGCATGCAGGAAGGTAGGAACTGCCCTGGCTATTGCCGGGGGGCGGGGGGGATTAGAGGGAGGGAGAAGAAGGAACACTTTAGTCAGGAAACAGACATAGGCTAGTCTTGTGCATCACAGCGTCTGGCACATGCATACTCAGTACATTAGTTTGAAGTATTACATGGAAGAACTGGGCTTGAGTTGCACGGTCATAATGAATAACAGGGAGAAGTTGGGAAATACAGAGTAGGCCTTGATTTTGCAGGGCCTTGAAAACTAAGAGCATACGTACAGAGTGAAAAATTGAGACCTCTTACAAATTCAGGAAGGTCACATGATAGACGTATTAAGGGCATTTAATCTGATAGTGGATATGAAGGCTGCATTAGGTATAGACTGGCTGAGTGGTTGCTTGGTAAACTATAAATGGATGGTGCCAAAGGTAGGGAGTGAAATCATAGTGTACGAGAGAGTTCAAAGGAACATCAGGATGGAGAAAATTGATTTACAACTCCTGTAGGATTTAAGACAGCTGATTCAATGAAAAACTGTGTCATTGCTAGAGGTTGGGACAGTGTGTCTACTTTAAGACCAAAAAGACCAACTTTATTTAAAAATGTTGGGCCAGTGGAATTGTAAGACCAGGTTTGAATCCCAGAAACCCATGTGCCATTTACCCTTTCTTGGCTTTTGTTCCCTTTTACTGAAATTTGCCAAGACCTCTCAGGATTTGGGGTTAAATGGAGTGATATACTAGAGAAAGCATTGTGAAGTAGTACAGGGAGGTTGATCTTGAGGCAATGATGGGATTTACATGTTTTAATTATACACACGCATGCACATACAACCTAGAGCAGAGGAGAGAATGCAGAATGAGTTGTAACAGTTTCTGAGGATGGGGGTTACAAAATGCCACAAACTGCGTGACTTAATACAACAGAAATTTAGACCAGGTGCGGTGGCTCACACCTATAATCCCTGCACTTTGGGAGGCCAACGTAGGAGGTTTGCTTTAGGACAGGAGTTCAAGACCAGTCTGGGCAATGTGGCAAGACTGTTTCTATAAAAAATAAACTGAGCGTGGTGATGGGAGCCTGTAGACCTAGCTGCTTGGCAGGCTGAGGCAGGAGCATTGCTTGAGTTCAGGAGTTAAGGCCATGTGAGCTATGATTGTTCCTGGGTAACAGAATGAGACTGTGTCTTCAGAAAAAAAAGAATCTAGTTCTAAAAATATCCTGTAGACCTTTAGGCTGGGCTTCAGGGCTTACTCTGCAGGGAGATGGGAAAGTCACGTGCCTTCACAGTACTCATGTAGGAGTGAAGCCTTCGGCAGAGCACCTGGCTGTGCACAATGCCACTGCAGCCAGACCTCCAGTACAAAGACCTGTTTTCTTTCAATGCAACATCAAAAAAAGTTTTTGCATTGTAGCTAGAAATGAATGAGCTTTACCTTCCAACAATACAAGGGTTAGGAACAGCTATTTCTAGGGTATGGAAAGTTTAGTTTCCATATGAGAGTGGTTAATCATTTAGATGTGCTGCTCACGTACTTTGTACCTGCTGTGATTTTACTCATTCATCTGGCCTTTCCTAGCTTTCTGAAGTTCAGCATTTGAGTGGTATGACAGTGGGTATGGAAAACTGTATTTTCGAAAGATGGCCAGAGTAATACCTTCAGCCCACGTGTTCTTCTACAGTATCAGCTTTCTACTCTTCTATCAGGAAATGGAGCCGATTCCTCTCCTTTTGGATTTTGTGCTGGTTTATGACTTGCCTATAACTAACAGAATGTAGTGGAAGTGAGGCTAGGTGCCTTCCAGAGCTGGATTAGAAAAAGCCATGTGTCTTTTACCTGGTTCTCCTGGGATACCTGCTGTGGGGAACCCAGCTACTATGTTAGACGTGTACAACCCTGGGCCCACCACCCTGAAGAGGCCGTGTATAGGTAGTCCGGTGGACAGCCCCAGTTGAACCCAGCCTCTGAGCCATCCCTGCCAAAGCATCAGACATGTCAGGAAAGCCATCTTGGAACCTCCAGAATATGTCAGCTGAGTAACAGTGAGGGACCTCAGGTGACCTCTTTAAAAAAAAAAGAAAAAAGAAATATATCATTTTGTCGTTCTGAAGGCCAGAGGTTCCAGAGTCAAGGTATCAGCATTTTTCCTTGGGTGCTCAGAGACAGAATCTGTTCCATGCGTCACTGCTAGCTTCTGGACGGCAGTCAGTCCTCGGATTTCTTGGCTTTTATAGATAACATCACTCCAGGTTACCTTCAGCTTCCCGTGGTGACCTCCACTGGGTGTCTTGGGTTGTCACATGACCTTATGAGGGACACTACTATGACTCAACTACATACATGTACAGGGACTCTCTTCAAAATAGGGCCACAATCTGAAGTTCTAGATGGATGTGAATTTTAGGAGGACACTTTAACCCAGAATAGTAGTTCACAAGTATTTCCAAATAAACCTAACCATTGTGTAATTACTTTTTTTTTTTTAAGAGCACTGGAATTAAATTACCTTCATCAGTGTTTGCATCAGAGTTTGAGGAAGATGTTGGATTATTAAATAAAGCAGCTCCCGTCTCAGGTATGTTTAGTTTCTTTAACATTTCCTGTGCATAAATTTGTGTTTTGCAAAAAGAAACAAAGAGTGGTGAGGTAGGATTTTTCTGCACTTAATAAAGTATTGAAATGCATGAAGAACTGAAATATATGTAGAATTTGGATTAGAATTATTAGGAAGGGACGAACGTGATCTTTGTCCCTTTGTACAACTGCCATTAAGTCCGTCTTTAGAGTTGTCTTTGGGGAAGAAAATGAAAAAACTTATTGGTTATCTGGTAGGGAGATTTTAACATTCACCTAACTTCTCACAAAGATAGCAATATATTTATTCCTTAACTTAAATAGCATAATTTTGAAAAATAATCCTTTGTCTTTCAAAATTTCTCCTAAGAGTATAGAAGTATAGAAGTCCATATTTTTCCTTGAGCGTTCAGAGACAGAATCTGTTCCATGCATCACTGCTAGCATCTGGAGATTTTGCAAAAAGATGTTCTTGCATATTTTCGTCTTTAGATACACTGAAAAAAATGTTTTTCATTTTTTAAAATGTGTATACTTTATTGTACCCAACCATATTTTTTTTAACTTTAAGTAAATTTATTTATGGTTAATGTGAGAGTACAAGCAACCTAGGTTACAATATTTTATTTTGTTAGGTAGAGTTTGTCTTGTGGTTATGTTCCCCACACAAAAGGTGTATGAACCCTCAAACCTCCCCCCCCCCCAATTCAGGGAGAGCATCCCAACTCCTTCTCCCTCCTTTATTACCCCCCCAACTTGAATGGAAATGAGTTTCTCTCCTATACGGGCATGCATGTGATTGTTGGCTTCATATTAGTATTGAATACATTGGATAATTGCTCTTGCATTCCTGTGATACTTTACTAAGAAGATGATGTTTTAATTCCATCCAGGATATTACAAAAGATGTGAAGGCCCCCATCTTTTTTATGGCTGAATAGTATTCCATGATTTGTGTGTGCCACAATTTGTTAATCCATTCCTGAGTTGATGGGCTTTTAGGTTCTTTCCACATCCTGGTGATTGTAAATTGAGCTGCAGTTTTGTATTTTTTTTTTTTAATTTTCAATGCAAAACAGGAATCCCTACAGAAGTGGTGTTTGGTATTTTATCCTAAATTGCCTTAATTATTGACTATTGCTTGCCCTGTGGTATTCGTTTGTGGTTTTATTCTACAGACTTTTGAGTTAAACCAGAATAAAGTATAGTCTCTGATCTCAAGGAATTTACCTCAGTTGGAAAAGGTAGACACTAAATGGGAATTCAGTACAGGTGGAGGAACACTACGGGGTTGAGGGGCGCCAAATCCAGTCTGAGGAAGTTACGCACAGCTTCCTAAAGGAAGTGATTTCCACGTTGGTTTCTTGAGTAGAAGTTAGGCAGTGGAAGATAGAGAAGAGAGGAAGAGAGAATATTCCAAATAGGGCAATAAGCAAAAGTAAAAGCATGACTGTGTATAATTCTACATAATTTAGCATATCCAGGAAGAAGACCAAGGATTAAAAAGATTAAGAGGCTGGAAAGTTAAGCAGTGGCCATGGAGAAGGTGTCGGAGGCCATGTCAGATTTTAACCTTGGACTTGAAAGTTTTTCTTGAACTCTAGTATTTTTTCTTGTCTTTTCTTTTAAAACAAAATCTTACTTTGTTGCCTTGAGTAGAGTAACCTCAACTCTTGGGCTCCAACAGTTTTCTTGCCTCACCCTCCCAAGTAGCTGAGATTACAGGCACTGGCCACAACACCCAGCTATTTTTAGAGACTGGGTTTCGCTCTGGCTCAGGCTGGTCTCAAACTCCTGAGCTCAAGCAGTCCACCCACCTTGGCCTCTCAGAGTGCTAGGATTGCGGGCGTGAGCTACTGTCCAGCTGAACTCTTTATATTTTTATAAGTAGAAAAATATAGCTGAAGAAACAGGTAAGGATTTATTAAAATCTCATGGTCAGAAAAAACTAAAAGGGTAGCAGTCTGCAAATATTTAATTTGAGTCATTTATAACAGATGAATTTAAATGTCAATTTTTTTCCTGCAAGTGAAAACTTTGAATTTTTTGAATAGGCAAAATTTAATGTTACAGATGTGTAACAGAAGAGTATTTTTACCAGTGGATATTGAAGGAAAGGGATCTTTCTCGCTCTGTTTTTTTTTTTTTTTT